AACCTCTGCCTCCTGGGTTCAAGTAATTCTCCTGACTCAGCCTCCCGAGTAGCTGGGATTACAGGCACGTACCACCATGTCTGGCTAATTTCTTTGTATTTTTAGTAGAGACGGGGGTTTCACCATGCTGGCCAGGCTGGTCTCGAACTCCTAACTTCGTGATCCACCTGCCTTCGCCTCCCAAAGTGCTGGGATTATAGGCATGAGCCACCATGCCTCACCAAGAAATGGCTAAAATTTTAAAAGATCTAGTGCTGGGGTTACAGTTCAGTTATGCAAAAAAGTTAACAGTATGCGGCTGAATACATGAAGCCTCAATAGAGCACCCCTTCAGACTTCTACTAAGGTTCTGAGTGATCAGCAAGGCTTTTAGATGGCTTATAAAAATCTCAGGTCCTTCACTGGATACCCAAGGAAATGAAACTGAAGTAGGAAGGAGGGGAAAATTAACTGGCCTTCCTACTTTTGTCTGCCTCATTCCAAAATTTACATAGTAGACCATTTGTCATCCATGCTGTCCCACAAAGAGTTTTTTTTATGATTTATAACAGGTTTGTGTTACTTCTATTTGAATTTCTGTATTTCCCATCTGGTTTTAAGTTTAATATTAGGGGAGTAGAGTCAGTTAACATTTAGGGAGTTATCTGTTTTCATCTTACAGTGGCCAATATGGGGATGTGGAATTTCTATAAAGGTTATAAATGTTTGGCATAGTACTTTTGGTACATTGCAGCTTCACAAGGGCCAGTGTTAAAACTGCTCCCATGTCTAACCAAAGAAAAATGCCTACGTATTGGTTTGTACTGATGGGGAGTAAAAAGGATCATCGCAGATGTGATTGTGGGTACTTTAAGGTTTGAAGCATTTAAAAGACTGGTAGACACAGATAGCCCATGGATACCACATGTTAAACCATGTATATCTGTGGAATACTCAATCTCTTTTTTTTTAACACCTTCTCAGATTGGATTTTTAAAATTTTTTTTATTTTTTATTTTTGGAATACTCAATCTCAATGTACACACCTTTGACTACAGCTACAGAAGTGTTCGTTTTGACAAAGTTGTGACCCATTTTACTCTGGATAAGGGCAGAAATAGTTCACATTCCAATATCCATAAAGTTACCTGCTGTTACCTTTCATTATTTTTGCTACACTCATTTTATTTGTATTTAAATGTTTTAGGCAACCTAAGAACAAATGTAAAAGTAAAGATGAGGTAAAAATGAATTGCTTGATATTCGTTACTTCGTGTATATCAAGCATAGCAGTAAACAAAACGAAACAAAACAAACCCATGTATTTAACTTCTTTTTTTTTTTTTTTTTTTTTTTTTAGGTTTTTTGCTTTTGTAATTCTCTTATACTTGCCTAACACGCATGTGCTGTAAAAATAGTTAACAGGGAAATGAGATAATGGCTAGCTTTGTTTAATGTCTTATGAAATTTTCATAAACAATCCAAGCATAATTGTTAAGAACACGTCTATTAAATTTAGCAAGTGGAATGAAAGTTTTAATGAATAGAAAAAAAAAAACCCTCTTAATGGCCAAAAGAACCAGGGTTTCTGGTACCCCATTACCCATTACAGAATATTCTAAGCCCTGAGATACCTACCCAACTTTTTTTTTTTTTTTTTTTTTTGAGACAGAGTTTTGCTCTGTCACCCAGGCTGGAGTACAATGGCATGGTCTCTGCTCACTATAACCTCCACCTCCTGGGTACAAGTGATTCTCCTGCCTCAACCTCCAGAGTAGCTGAGATTACAGGCGTGAGCCACCATGCCTGGCTAGTTTTTGTATTTTTACAAAAATCTGGGGTTTCACCATATCCGTCAGGCTAGTCTCGAACTCCAGACGTCAAGTGATCCACCTGCCTCAGCCTCCCAAAGTGCTGGGATTACAGGTGTGAGCCACCGCACCCTGCCCAATATCTACGCAACTTTCTAGTTAGATCCTGAACTCCAAGGCTATCTTATACATGTTTAAACTGACTTCTTTGGGAGGCTGAGGCAGGCGGATCACAAGGTCAAGAAATAGAGACCATCCTGGCTGTCTCTTTAGTAGAGGCAGGTGAAACCTTGTCTCTACTAAAATACAAAAATTAGCGGGGTGTGGTGGTACACGCCTGTAGTCCCAGCTACTCGGGAGGCTGAGGCAGGAGAATTGCTTGAACCCGGGAGGCGGTGGTTGCAGCAAGCCAGGATTGCACCACTGCACTCCAGCCCAGTCCCTGCAACAGGGCAAGACTCTGTCTCTAAATAAATAAATAAAATAAAAAATAAACTGACTTAAGCACACACATTTTGCTACTTTCTCTCTCAGGAAGGTAACTTGTGATTGATTATGCAAACCTAGACCGGCAGGCCTCTTTAACCATGAAAGGCCTGAGATTGCAGGGAAAGCAATGGAAATCAAGGCAAGGCAAAAACTATACTGAAAAAGAACAGCTCACCACTGGTGCAGAGAAGAGTAGGGTAACAGCTTTTGTGTTATTTTGGAACAGTTTGTGCTGATGAGCTTTTTGTTGTGGTAACATTCCTCTAAAAAGAACATTTTATTCCTCCCCTCATTGACAAAGCAATTCAACAGAATGTAAAAGAAAAAGAAAAGGAGGAGGAGCAGACAACAAAGATATCCAAGAATTTACAGATCTTGGGTTATCATCACCTTCTTCAGCCATTCCCTGCTTTTGTGGCCAGGCTCTGGGACAGCGATCAGAATACCACTAGGCCTCATTCACCCCCAGGAACATGGCTCTATTTTCAGCATAGACAAATAAAATTTTGATCCTTTATAAGTCAGTGACACTTCTAGATGTAACCAAATTTCAGATACTTGCATCATGATCGTTGTCCTTGCTCAAGAACCTACAGTTGCCTGGTTCAACAAGTATACACATCTCAGCCTGGGCCCCACTATCCTTTCCAACTTTTTGTTCTATGGTTTTCTACCACAGTCCCTCTATCTAACCAAACCAACCCACTATGTTTCTTACTACCTCTACAGCTATTCTCACACTGATTCTCCACTACTCAGTAAGCCCAACTCTTTCCATTATATCCAAATTTTACTTTTTCTCCAAGAAGTCCATTTTCTTCCTTTAAATTCCTTAAACATTATCTGGTTCATCCTTACAGACAAATCCCCTCTGCTGACCAATCAGTGGATTCTGTGTTTTGGTTGTTTTTTTGTTTTTTTTTACGAGTCAAGGTCTTGCTCTGTTGCCAAAGCTGGAATGCAATATCATAGCTCACCACAGCTTTGACCTCCTGGGCTCAAGCAATCCTCCTGCCTCAGCCTCCAGAGTAGCTGAGACTACAGGTGTATGCCACCACACCCAGCCAATATATATATATATTTTTTTTTTGTAGAGACAGGGTCTCACTATGTTATCCGGGCTAGTCTCGAATTCTTGGCCTCAAGATATCCTCCTGCCTTGACCTCCTGAAGTGCTGGGATTACAGACATGAGCCACCACACCCAGATTCAGTGGAATTTTGAATTCTATTTGCCCATCTTCAGTGATAGAGAGGTCACTATCTACCAAGGAAGGCTCTTCTATGACAAGACAGCCCTCATGGTTAGTCAATATTTATTCTAAAAGAAAATGCCTACTTTTTACTTTCCCCACTTTACTTTGGGTCTGGTTCTGCTCTAAGAATAGGAGAAACAATACAGCATTACTTAAGAGCATGGGCTTTGAAATCAGATCTGCACTGATATCCACTGTGTCCCTGAGCAAAATGCTTAACCTTTCTAAGGCTCCATTCCCTGGTAATAATATCAACTTCATAAGTCTGTTGAAGTTAAAGACTAACTATGCAAAAAGCTTAACACTGTGACTGGCATAAAGTAAGAACTCAATCAATGATAGCTAGTATCATGGTTTTCACTGTTACTATCATCGTTACTTTTGGCTGATTTCTTTACTTTTTAAGTATTTAAAGGTAGAAATTATATTACCTAAGTCTCCTCTTATCCAGCCTAAAGTCTCTTCACTAGACTTTAAGTTATATAAAGACAGACTGTATCTGTCTTATTTACAGTCTCATCTCCATGCCTAGCACAGTGCATGGTACATAGACACTTAATAAACATAATTGTGTTGAATGCTCTTTGTTTCATAGTTTTCATACTTTATCACTCATGTCACTCCTCTCTGCATAGGCCCTCATTGTTCCAAATCCTTCTGACAATGTGTATACAAAACTGAACTCGAAACTCAAAGGTAGGCTGGCAGGACAGAGTAGAAAGTAGGGTATCTCCCCCATCATGATATAACTACATCACTATTGAAGATTTGGCATAACTTGGTAGCTTCACCAAGCTACTGGTATATGTTGACCTTTAAATGAAGAAACCTTTAAATATTTTCACACATAATGGCTTATTCTCTGGGATCTGCTGAGCTGCAGGTACAATAATGCTAAAGGATGAAACAACAATAGAGCTTTTCTCCATTTCGAGACTCCTCTAGCTCTTACTATCTACACCACTCAACTGGCTCCCAAAAACTTCAGCCTGGAATTTAGAATGAGCTTTCTAAAAAGATTTGTTTCCTCTTCCCAAATAGAGTATAAACTCCCAGAGGGCAGGATCTGGGTGTTTTATCTTCTATCCCACATGCCAACACAGGGCTGGGAACAGACTGATGTCCTCCATCTATAGCAGGATTGCAATACAGATCCAAGGAAATCATAGAGACCAGCCTTGGGGATCCCTCTCCCTCCCAAACAACACAGCTCAATCACTGTTATTCAACTAGCCAACAGGCAGGCAGGAGCCAACCCAGGCACAGACATAGGTATAAAGCCTACACTCTGACAGGCTGACTCCTGGAGGGCTGCTCTGCTGGGAGCCACCTTCCCTGATGGGGATGAGTTCCTAGAGAACAAGCCAGCAGAGAACATCTCTCCACAGGGAATAGTCTGTCTAAGCAGCTTTCAAGGACTATTTCACACAGGAGGAAAAGAGCCATAGCAGGATGAGAGAGCTCACCTCATCACTTTCTTCCACATCCACATCACCATTGGCATCATCATCCATCAGCTTGTGGATGTTACGGACTGCCTCGAAGCTGAGTTTCTCATCCTCACTGTGACAGAGGGGCTTGTCAATTCGGCAAAACTCTGTATAAAAAGCAAGAGACAACATTACTCAGAGCTGCCACCCAGAACGTAACACCCAAAACCTATCACCCACCTGTGTCCGCATCCTTAGCTTCTAGCATCTGACTCCTCATGTAGGCCCTTAACTATCTACTTGCATGGTGACAGAAGTGTTTCATCTAGCCTGTAAGTGTCTCCCCAAGAAAATGCTGAGCTTCCCCCAAGGACAATGCTTTTTATCATCCTAATAGTTTCTTGGCAGGGAAGTCTCACATAGGACTAGGAATATGTTGGGATCTAGACAAGAATGTGCATCAGTAACTCACAAATGAGAGAAAACATAAATAGTTAATGAACACAGGAAAAAGTCTAGCCTCATTAGTAATCAAAGAAATACATATTCAAATGAGATGTTATTTTTAATCAGTCAAATAAACAAATGTAAATCAATGTAATCTTTCTGGAAACAGAACAACAGCTAATTAGGCCCAGTGCCCAAATAATGTACAATTTTCCTTTTTGTTCATTTCATCACTGCTGATACATATAAGGCCAGCCATAGGCTGACTGGGGAAACCTCTCACATCTCATGCCTTCTCACAGACAGATATATCAGGCAAATTTTTTTTAGATATCTCAAGGTCCTGAGCTCATCTGATATAACACCTTATGTGGTCTAGGATACGGTTTTCTCTGCCCACCGTCACATGTTCATATAGCAGTAAAACCAGCACAAGAGCCTAGGCCACCTTAGCTCTTTCTGTGACACCTAATCCTCTCTTACAAGCCTGGAAAACACCTAGTCTCAATGATGCACATAACAGAAAGAGCCTGAAATCCAGGCTTAGCTCTACCATGTGATCTAGGGAGGTCATTTCTCTTCTCCATGCCTCAAAGTCACTATTTGAAAAAAGCATTTTGACTGAAGTTTCTAGTTTTTCTTCCAATTCCTGTGTTAAAATTCCTCTTTCCTTTTGCCCTGGATCTTGACAACTACTTCCTAGGCAAAATATTCTCCAGATGACCCTCAAAGAAGATAGATCTTGACTTCCTAGGTAATAGAAGAAGTTGTCACAGGACAGAAAAGACAGCGTGAAGAGGTTGTAGTTATGATGCCTTTTAGAAGGCACTAATCAAAGACCTAAAATATCCTAATCCATTTAATCATCTACTTGTCTGCCAGCCGGACACAGTGATAAGACCAGACAGGTCACTTCTCTACTTCTTGCCAGTTATTGAAATCCTTTTCAAAATAAGGGAGGAGTATAAACATTAAATTTTAAAGTGTCTTAGATGTGACTCAATAAAGGTATGTTGAACATTGAAGCTCACAGATGTTAAATGATGTGCCAAAGTTACAGGCAGATGAAGAGCCATAGTGAGACCCCAAGTCTGCTGACTCCCAGGTTAGCACTTCAAAATCCCATCTTCACAATTGCCTTTTTGCTAGGGTGACCAGATAGCTGGCCTTGGGTTGCTTTCATCTTTTAGAAGCCACAGGTAATAACATGAGCAAAAAGAACATTAAGCAACAGGGTTATTTTTGTTTTTCTTTTTTGAGACACAGTCTCACCCTGATGCCCAGGTTGGAGCCCAGTGGCATGATTTCCACTCACTGCAACCTCTGCCCCCCAGGCTCAAGCAATTCTCCTGCCTCAGCCTCCCAAGTAGCTGAGATTATAGGCACATACCACCATGCCAAGCTAATTTTCTGTATTTTTAGTAGAGACAAGGTTTCACCATGTTAGCCAGGCTGGTCTCGAACTCCTGACCTCAAGCAATCTGCCCACCTCAGCCTCCCAAAGTGCTGGGATTACAGGCGTGAGCCACCACACCCAGCCTGCAACAGTTTTATAAAACAAAAAGATACAATGACAGTATGTATACAAAAAGAAATATCTCTACATAAACTTATTTCCCTTGATATTTGTTGTACCAAATTGGGAAGTGGGATGAAGGGGTGATGGGAACTTAGGGAGAGAGCAGAACACACCCAAAGATTAAGGCATTGTTTCTCAACTTCCTCACCAATAAAAACATATACAATTGTATATTAGAGCTTTTTAATTAGCCCATGATATGCCCATTTAGACATTTATTGAATGTTCTTCACATATGAGGCCCTACGATCAACATGGGCATAAAGATATGAATCATACTTCATTTTTCTCTTAGAAAGTTAATTATAAAAGTGGGAGGGGCAGGCAATTAAAGCAGTATGTGCTAAGTGCCATGATAGAAAGAATCATGATTAAGTATCAGCTAACTTTTTCTATAAAGGGCCAGATAATAAACAATTTAGAATTTGTGGGCCATATAGTCTCTGTTGTACAACTTAACTCTGCCATTGTAGCACAAAAGCAGCCACAGACAAAATATAAGTGAATGAGCTTGAAAGTGTTCTAATAAAACTTTATTTATAAAAGCAGGCCATGAACTGGATTTGGCCAACAGGCCATAGTTTGCCGAACCCTGTTATAGAATATCATAGGTAGCACACCTAAATCATATTGAATTGCATTAAAGAAAGAAATCCAAGGTTGGGGATGGTGGCTCACACCTGTAATTCCAGCACTTTGGGAGACTGAGGCAGGAGTTCCTTTGAGCCCAAGAGTTAAAGACTAGCCTGGGTAACATGGTGAAACCCTCTTTTTACAAAAATTTAAAAAATTAGCCAGACATGATGGTGCACACCTGTGGTCCCAGCTCTCAGGAGGCTGAGGTAGGAAGACCACTTGAGCCCACAAGGTCGAGCTGCAGTGACCCATGTTTGTGCCACTGAACACACAGCCTGGGCAATAGAGCAAGACCCTGTCTCAAAAAAAAATAATTAAAGAGATATAGAAATCCAATATTTTCATTAGCCTGTATACACACATAGGCTTATCCTAAGTAAAGCACAACTTCTAATAGGCTTTTTAAAATAACGGAAATAGTTTATCAAGCTCTAGGGTTTGGGGCCTCCAGGCTGGGTACCACTGGCCTGAGGTCAATTAACTAGCACCTTTCCCAAAGACCTACAAGGTCCAAGAAGTTTGGGCTTCAAATACCCAGGCTCTGGTTTGTAACCTGATCAGACAGACAGGTGACCTTTGCTGCTAGCATCAGCTGACACAGAGTAGGATTAAAGAGATTGAGGGCTAGGGAGTACAAAGGCTTGATTCCCTTATGGCCGTTGAATCCTGTACAGAAAAGCCATGTCAGCCAAAACTCACAAATAACTCCTTCAACCAAGCATGTCTTAAGCTGTCTCTATGTTCTTCCTGAGACCTTTCCTACTTTCTCTTACACATTCCAATCTGGCAAGGTTTCCCACAACTCTCTGGAAATACCTTCAAAGAGCCATCCATTTAGCAATGCATAACTACAGTGAAAAAGCCGGGACTTAGAGTCAGAACACATATCAAAATCCCATTTTCACTAATTACAAACCATATGATATTGAACAAGTTGTTTAATTTCTCTGAGATTCCAATTTCTCATTTGCAGAATGAGGATAATACTCTGCTGCACAGACTTTTTAAAAATAAAATCACATTTGTTAAAACACCCAACATAGGGCCTGGCGTAAGGCTGACATTTAATACATTTGTAGTATCCTCTTCACCCCCAGAACAGCAAGTAAACAGTTCCCATCTTCCGTTAACTTCAGCCACTTTCCCTGTCTATGAAGCATCAAATATAGGAGGTATAATCCAATCAACCTCATCAGTCATGGTTCCAGGTAAGTGGGCAAGTGGCTCTTTGCAAGACTCTGACAGTAACCCAAACTCCCACAACATTTATATGCTATCACTGGTAACATTTATTATACTGGGTTGCAATTATCTGTTTAACGTGTCTTCCCCACCAGACTGTGATCTCCATAAGGGACTGGTACCATGTCCCCAACAGCAAGCAAAGAGCCAGCTTCTTGATAAAATGCTCAGTAAATTTTTTTAATGAATATCTAAATATTAACTCTACAATTACGTGTAAGATTTCTCTAGAGAAAAAAAGAAGAGTTCTAGGCAAAGAAAACACCACAGGCATATGTTTTTAAACTTTTTGGTCTTAGGACTCTTTTATATGCTTAACATTTTTTAATTCCAAAGAACTGTTTAATATTTACATATTAGAAAGTAAAACACATGCAGCCATAAAAAAGAACAAGATCATGTCCTTTGCAGGAACACAAATGGAACTGGAGACCATTATCCTTAGCAAACTAATACAGGAACAGAAAACCAAATACCACATGTTCTCATTTCTAAGTCGGAGCTAAATGGTGATAACACATGGACACACAGAGGGAAACAACACATACTGGGGCCTTTCAGAGGATGGAGGGTGGGAGGGGGAAAGAGGATGAGGAAAAATAACTAATCGGTACTAGGATTAATACCTGGGTGATGAAATAATCTGTACAACAAACCCCATGTCATAAGCTTACCTATGTAACAAACCTGCACTTGTACCCCTGAACTCAACATAAAAGTTAAAAACTAACTTACCTACATTGCCTTAATGAATATTTAGCAATATAAAACTTTTGCAAACTGCCTCAGCAAGATTTTTTTCTAGATTGATAATGTTTCATAAGGTATATATCAGAGCATTTCAAATAAAATTTCCATAGAATTTTGAATTAAAAAAGGAAAAAACACAAATTGTTATAATTAGTTATTAATTCATTTTATTTTTTCCTAATAATCTGTTTTTATTACACAAGTAACACTAAACTCATTGTAGACAAACAGGTAGGTCAAAAGAACAAACAATTGTTAAAGTCTTGGTATACATACTACCAGAGCAAGACTTTTCTAAAAAGTCAAAAAACAACAGATGTTGGTGAGGATGCAGAGAAAAGGGAATACACTGTTGGGGAATGCAAACCAGTACAACCTCAATATGGAGATCTCCCCAAGAACCAAAACTAGGTAGCTAGCCAAAGGATAAGAAAGAATAAGAAATCATTATACAAAGATAACCCTACCACTCATGTCTGTTGTGGCACTATTAATAATAGCAAAGACATGGAA